GTAGAGAGTTCTGACATCACAGCTCACAGCAACCTCAAACTCTTGTGCTTAAGCGATTCTCTTGCCTTAGTCTCCCAAGTAGCTGGGACTACAGGTACCCGCCACTACACCTGGCTATCTTTTTGTTGTAGTTGTCATTGTTGTTTAGCAGGCTCAGGATGGGTTCAAACCCACCAGCCCTGGTGTACATGGCCAGCACCCTAACTACTGAGCTACAGGTGCCCAGCCAATTTTTCTACTTTTAATAGAGACAGAGTTTCACTCTTACTCAGGCTGGTCTCAAACTCCTGAGCTCTGGGAATCCTCCCAGAGTGCTAGGCTTACAAATATGAGACACCTCGCTGAGCTAGGTAGCAATGTTAAATTGGGTTGTCCAGATTGGCCTCCCAGGGGAGGCTGCATCTGAGCAAATACACTGAAACTTGGGGAACTAGTCCAGTGGCTACTTGGAGGAAGAAGTTGCCGGAGGGAGGATCAACACTGCCTACGCCCCAAGGCAAGAAGATGATGATGGGGGTGATAAAAGAATAGCAATGAGGCCAGTTGGATTGAAAATGATGTGACAGAGATGATGGTGGGAATGGGTCAGAGTTGGAGTAGTGCAGTTAGGACCTTGAAGATAAAACTTCGAATTTGATGAGGTGTGAAAAGCAAGAAACGATGCCTATTTAGTGAGGAAAATGAGGCTGATGGCTTAGAGCCTGTAGCACAGTGGTTATGGCACCAGCCACATACACCCAGGCTGGCAGGTTCAAACCACCTCCCCACCCCCAGGCCAGCTAAACAACAGTGACAACTGCAACAAAAAAATAGCCAGGCATTGTGGCGGGCGCCTGTAGTCCCAGCTACTTGGGAGGCTGAGGCAAGAGAATCACTTAAGCCCAGGAGTTTGAGGTTACTGTGATCTATAACACCACTGCACTCTACTTAGGAAGACATAGTGAGACACTGTCTCAAAAAAAAGAAGAAAGAAAAGAAAAGAAAGGAAAATTAGGCCAAAATAAACAGAAAGTGTGACTGATGGGAAGACACTCATTAGTTCTAGGGCTGACTTCTTCATCGGGTCTGACTATTCCACTTTATATGGGTCATTATAAATCTTTTGAGATACAGAAAAATCTCAAAAATCACAAAAAAATGTAAAATCGGCCTCTCTCACCTCTTCTCCCATCATGAGAAGGACCCATTTCCAACTTTCTTTGGAAATGCTCTAAATTCTGCCTTTGTTCTTTTTTTATATATATAATGTATGGAATTTTTTTTATTAGATCATGACTGTGTACATTACTGCACTTATGGGGTACAATGTGCTGATTTTATATACAATTTGGAATGTTTGTATCAAACTGGATAACATAGCCTTCACCTCACTTATTTGTTGTGTTTAGACATTTATACTCTTAATATATTTGACATATACCCTTGCAATATGCACAAAAGGTGAGGTTCCACTGATTACCCTTTCTCCACTCCACCCATCCACCCCTCTCCCCTCCACTTGCCCTCCTCTTCTCTCCTTCTTTCTGGGCTATAATTGTGTTTTATCCTTTGTTTGAAAGTGTGGGTGATTATATATTGGTTTCATAATAGTGTTGAGTACACTGGATTTTTTCCTTCCATTCTTGAGATACTTTAAAATATCTTGAGATATTTAAGAAGAATATGCCCTTTGTTCTTAAATAAAGTTTCTCTTTTAAAAAAAAAATCAGTTACTCTGGGTTGATGTCAGAAGAAGGGAAAAGGGGAGAGGGAGGGGAGGGGTGGAGGGGTGGAGGGAGGGTAATTGGTGGGATCACACCTACGGTGCATCTTATAAGGGTACATGTGAAATTTACTAGGTGTAGAGTATGAATGTCTTAACACAATAACTAGGAAAATGCCGTGAAGGCTACGTTAACCAGTTTGATGGAAATATTTCAAATTGAGTGTGTAACCAGCACATTCTACCCCATGATTGCATTAATGTATACAGATAAGATTTAATAAAAATAAATAAAAAACATAAAATCCACATGGAAGGAAACAAATGAAGCCCTCCCAGCAATACAGATAAGCTGTCTAAGTTGAAACTTGCACAGATGAATCAGAAAGGATGCTGTCTACTGTGTTTCTTGGAAGTGAAGTAATGGACCATAGCATAGTCTATAGAATGTCATGGGATATATCATCCAAGGCAAGGAAGTCTGGGACAGAAGAGGTCCACACCATCTTCATTTCCTCCCTTCATCACTTTCATTATCATCAGCAGACTCTTGGGACCCCGACCTTTTAACCACAGAGACAGGATTCCATAAAGGTAAGTAAACACCTGTGGGGCCATCGGTTCTGGGACAGAGCTGGGAGGAGAGGGGAGATTATGGAGTGAGCTGGCGTTCTTGTGTTCCTATCAGTGATCTCCATGTTCTTCTGACCCCAGACCTTGCCCTTTGGGACCACGCTGCCCAGAATCTCCTTCGGATCAGCCTGGCCTTCCTGGTCCTTATGGCTCTAGTATGCCTCCTGGCTGAAGATAGGCTCCGCAGGAAGAGGACCTTTCAAAAGAAAGCTGACAGAGCTTCTCGCTGGGAATGCAGGCGAAGGTGGAGGAACACAACCTTGAGGAAAGACCAGGAGACTCAGTGGGCATAGGTGGAGCTGAGAACTGATCCTTGACCTTGGGCCATGTGAACTGTGTTGGACCCAGGAGGAGGGAGTCATTGCAGGAAATGAGGGACAACTTCATAGAGTTCCGCAAAGCATCCCAGAAGCGGCAGGAGGTGGGATGCAGATGCCAAATTTCTTCTGTAGGCAAATCCCATTGCCTTGTTCCTAGGTTCTAAGTATTTTTGTGCCCAGTTGCTGCAAACAATACTTTTAACCACTTCAGTCTTTTCTGAAAATATAGCTATCCTGTTTTGTTTGTTTGTTTGTTTATTTTATTTTTTGCAGTTTTTGACTGGGGCTGGGTTTGTACCCACCACCTCTGGCATATCGGGCCAGCACCCTACTCCTTTGAGCCAGAGCTGCCGCCCACTATCCTGCTTTTTGTTGTTTTTTTTAACAGCATGACCATGAGTGTATTTCCTTCCTGCTTTGGTCTTTATTTTTTCTTTCCTTTTTCTGCCACATGTCATTCAAAATAATTAATAAAAATATAGAATAGGGGTGTATCAAGTGGTTCAGGAGGAATTGTGGCAACAACTAGACAATGGAGAAGCAGGCTGTGAACAAGGAGTACAGCTACACAAGTGTGTCCTGGCTACATCTTAGCCATGCTCCATCTCCCTCCATCCCTCAGCACCACAGAATTTTTATTTTTTATATTTTTTATTAAATCATAACTATGTATAGTAATGCATTTATGGGATAAAATGTGCTGATTTTATGTACAATTTGGAATGCTTACATCAACTTGGTTAACACAGCCTTCACCTATTTGTTCTATTAAGACATTTATATTCTAGCTTTGACATGTGCACTTGCATTCTACACATTACACAAGATCCCACCAGATACCTTCCCTCAGTTTTCTTTCTACCTTTTTCTTTTTTTGGAGACAAAGTCTTACACTGTCACCTGGGTAGAGTGCTATGGCATCATCATAGCTCACAGCAACCTCAAACTCTTGGGGTCAAGTGATCCTCTTGCCTCAAACTCCTGAGTAGCTGGGACTATAGGTGCTCACCACAACACCCGGCTACTTTTCCTATTTTTAGTAGAGACAGAGTTTTGCTCTTGCTCAGGCTGATCTCTGAACTCCTCAGCTCAAGCAATCCATCAGCCTTGGCCTCCCAGAGAGCTAGGATTACAAGTGGGAGCCACCACACCCAGCTCCCAGTTTTCTTCCTTGTCCATGCCTTGCATTGTTCTTTGGGTCTCTGAATAGATATCTTCTCCCAGAAATTTTCCTAAATCATCTGACTTTCCTTTTATGCCCCCAGTGTAGCTGATATTTCTCTGTGACAGCACGTGCACCCTGATACCTTTCCATACCCACTTTCCTGTCTCTGCCCTGCATTTATGTAAATTAAGTCAACATCATGTTTAGTGACTATGTTCACACTTCTCACTACTAAAGGAGTTCTCAGGAAATACGTGTTGAAGTTAACATAGAAGGGGCTGCTGCACAGCAGGGAATTTGAGACTTCGGTCCTTTCCCCCTTGAGCTCTTCTATTTATCAACCCACTGATAACGCTCATTATATGGGTCCCCACCTCCTAATTCTGCATCTCCTGTAAGTCAAATTCCTTCTCTGAGTTTTCTGTTAAGTATCAGAGAATAATTCCAACTTCCAAGAGATAACATGATTTAATGAGGTACAGCGTAGCAGGAAACCAGCACCTGCCCCTCAGAGGCTAATCACTGTGTGGCCTTTGCTGTTATTCCCAGTAATAAAGGGAATTGAACAATGTGTCATTATCAATCTTGGCTATGCAAGCTGCGTCCATAAATGCACATTTTCACCTTAACTTCATTAAGTGTTTTGATCGTGGATGTGAAGTGATGAATTTTGCATTGTATAAAGATCCTTCTGGGGAATATCATTCCCCAACCAGCTGGAAACTTCTTTGTCTGACCCTCAACCCCCACCCCTCAGCTGCCTCCAAAGCTCTTTGTGACCAGCACTGATGCACTTCCTGGAACACACAGCAGACCCTTCAAGTCTTAGCTTGGCTTCTCTGTACTTGTTATTTGACACTTTGACCACTTCCTCCCTCAAAGAGTCACTTTGCTGGCTTTCCAAGGGTCACATACCATCCGGTTCCCAGACTCCTCTAAGCCTGGTGCTGGCTGCGCAAGGTAGACCGCCTCCATCTGTGGATTCAAACCCAGGCTGATCTTCTGCAACTCCAAGGCATCAATTCCCTAGCACCCTGGAAGGCCGAGGTGGGAGGATTGGTGGAAGCCAGGAGTTTGAAACCAGACCAAGCAAGGCTATGACCCTGTCCCTAAAACCAATCTGTAGACATGGCCAAATGCCTCATGGGGACAACTTGTTGGACCCCAGCTGAGAACTACTGGCTTAGCAGAATATAAACACAGTTAGGGGAGGGAAGTGCGTTGGGGAAGAAGTTGTGTGAGATTTGATCAATTAACAGCAGGATGACAGCAGAGAAGGGCACGGTGTGAAATGCTGCAACCCCAGAACCACATCAGAATAGCGAGTGCAGAGAGGCCTGAGGTGGGCAGGGGCTTGGGGAGCCCCACGTGTTGGGCAGATGAGCTCAGGGGAAGTGAGCATGGAAGGTGAGAGAGGAGGTGGACACCAAGCATCTTTCCAGCAGAGTTTTCCCTCTTCTCATTGAGAGCAGCTCATTCATTTCTCTAAAGATAGGCATGTCCTACCCTAAGCTGAATTTGGAGAATGGCCCTGGATATGTAATCCACCTGGAGTTGCCCCCACATTAAAGGGTCTAAGGTGGCCATTATTTCCCAGATGAGCTAGCCTTTCTTCCCTGTTGGTGCTGTTGCTTTTAGGGGCCAGATGAGTGTAGGTGGGGCTGCTCTGTACATGTAGGGTGCTGAGCAGCACCCCTGAACCCCAGCCTCTAGATGCCTGCATGGTTGGAACACCAAAAAGAGCCATGGACGTGGCCAAGTTCCTCCCACAGAGGGGACAGCAGTCACCCCTACTTAAGAACCACAAAGGACAGGCCCAGGAGCCCAGGTGTCAGTCTGCCCCTATCCAAGTACTGAGAGGGGATGGGACACTGGGGCAGTGCACTTGCTGGAAATAACAGATCCCACCCTCTCCCTGACAAACATGGCCCAGGGAGTCACTGAACTGACCAGGAGCCTCCACTGCCACAGAAACAGCACCTCCCTGGCTTATCCAGACCTGCCTGTGAGAAGCGCCCAGCTCCTGTACCTGCTGCACTGCAGTGCGCTCTCTGCACAAGCTTGAAGATGACCCCCCCTCAGCTGTGATGAGCTGTGCTGAGCTGTGCTGAGCTGTGCTGCTTCTGCTGGACCCAGACACATGGTCACAGAACCCTTACTTAGAGCCAAGGAGTTAGGCTGAACAGAAAGCGGAAGGCTGGGGAATATTCCTGGCAAGGATCAAATCCGGATACTCCCTGGGGCCAGCTCTCCATGCCACCCTTCTTAGTGAGCCCGTCAGAGAAGGGAACTTTTTTGAGTCTCACTCTGTCACCCTGGGTAGAGTGCCATGGCATCATCATAGCTCTGAAGGAGTGACAAAGCCAGACTTTCTCAAAAAAAAAAAAAAAAATTCAGTGCCATGGAAGTTTTGGGTTGGGGTACTGTTAAGGGCTGAACGGCACCCATCTCTTCCCACCAGGTGCCAGGGATGCCCCCAGTGCTGACAACAGCATATGTCCCATGGGTGGCAAAAATCACAAGATCCTAAACTACCCCGTTCTCATATTCCGAAGACCTTTAAATTTTTGCAAGAAGTGAGCTAAAAGACACATCACAGGCTTTACAATCAACACCGGTCTCAATTCTTGGTCTTTTAGAGGTTGTACCCTATCAAGTCAATGAATCATCTAAAGTCTTGACTTAATAGATTTAATCTTATAAGATTTTAGAAAAAAAAAAAACCTTTGTGCAAACTTGTTAAGATTTACAGCGTCCTGAACCAGACATTTTCAATCACAACTTCTCTCCATCTTAACATATCCCACCCATGAGCTTGGGTAACCAAGGAGAACCCTGAATTGATTCCCCACCCCACCCCACCCCTGCCAGTAACTTGACCACTTTCCCTGATTCACACCCAATTTCTCCATTTTTGTATCGATATGAATCATAGATCTCTGCCTGACCCCATGGGCCTAAATATTGTTAGCCAAAGGCCAAATGTAAGCTTAAGTATAAAATATATACCACTGTGATCAAGTATTTGAGAATTATCTTGTAATTAAGGTAAATCAGGTCCTTTATGCAATCACTGTGTGGTTGAGTTCAGGCACCAGACCTCCATTCATAAGCTAAGAACTGTCATTTCAACATTCAACCCGAATTACTAAGTAGACACCATTATTTTTGTACCTGGGACTAACTTCCCTACATCAATGTTCTCATGGTTAAAGCAGTCATAGCACCTACAGCAAGTTTGATGGAGAAATCAAGGGAGGACAGAATAAATCACTGGTGTTACTGCCAAGGAATTGGTGATAAAACAATGGGGACACTGAACTTTGTAATTTTTAAAATGGCCTTCATGCATCTTCTATGAATAACCAGTAATAAGTTGGATACAGCAAAGAAAAGTGTGTGTTTTCCATGGCAATTGACAGAAGCAGGTAGGGGCAAGTACATAGGGAGACAGGCACAGAAAGAGACCCAGAGATATGGAGATACATGGGGTAGGGTGGGGAGAAAGATGTTCACAGAAGAAATACCTGAGTTAGGGAAGAAAACAACCCATGCATTTCTTAATGTTTTTTGCTCGAAACAAAGTATGAAGTTCAAGTTTGCTCTTGGGCATGTTAATAAGCGCCACTTCAAAACTGCTTTAATTCTTTATTATCCTTGTGAGAAATCACACACTGTGCCTTAAAATGGTTATGTGACTTGTGCAGAATCCCCTCTAAACAAGAAAAACCAGCATTAAATCATACACATGGACACCCAGTGTAGTGATTAACATTTGACCTACACTAAGACATCATATAGAAAACAGTTGCTCAGGAGAGGTACAGTTGCAGGGGGCTCAGGAGAGGTAATAACAAGATGATGATCTAGTCGTCCTGGCAGCATCACAGTCAATTGTCAGTTGAGGATTGTTTTCTTTTATATACTCCAACAGCACTTGGATTTTCAAATTAGACTCATATGCCTTCAACCTGGAGAATCAGAAAGTAAGTTTTTCCAAAGCGCCAAGAAATTCTAGAATGAATTTGTAATAACTGCCCAAAATCTGTTTCAGGACATTGAAGGAAGGAACATTTTATTGGGTAGAGACAGGGTCTCACTATATTGCTCAGGCTGGTCTTGAACTCCTGGCCTTAAGTGATTTTCCCACCTTGGCCAGCCAAGGTAGTAGGATTACAACCACATTATCTGGCCGGCACATTACATTCCTTTAGCAAATACGTGTATGAGTTTATTATGAATTTTGGGTGGCACTAAAGAATCAACAGAACACCTCCCACTACCAAATCACTACCCAAATTCTATCTAGAAACAAAATAGTGGAAGCAGATGGTATACAAACAGGGCATGGGTGAGCAAACTTCAGCCTACAGGCCAAATCTGGCCAACAACCTGTTTTTGTAAATAAAGCTTGATTTAAACACAGATAGTCTTATTTACTTATTTTTTTATAAGGCTGATTTTGCTCTATTGAGGCGAGGCAGCCAAGTTTTATACTTCCTGGTCCTTTATTGAAAGTGTAGGCTCACCATGCATGGTGATGACTGCCTGAATCCCAGCTATGCGGGAGGTTGAGGTAAGAGAATCACTTCAGCCCAGGAGTTCAAGGCCAGCAGGGGTAATATAGTAAAACCCTACCTCTAGATTATGTATATATACACACACATATAAAGAAAGTATACATGTTCATCACCTGGAAGTGATATTTAAGTTCTTGGTTAAGAGAAAAAACTAAAGATAGTTTAAAAACAAAGATGAGGCTTGGTGCCTGTAGCTCACTGGTTAGGGCACCAGCCACATGCACCAAGGCTGACAGGTTCAAACCTGGCCTGGGCCTGACAAACAATGACAACTGCAACAACAACAACAAAAATATAGCCAGGCATTTTGGCGAGCATCTGTAGTCCTAGCTACTTGGGAGGCTGAGGCAAGAGAATCACATAAGCCCAAGAGTTTGAGGTTCCTGTGAGCTGTGACGCCATGGTACTCTAATGAAGGGGTGACATTGTGAGACTGCCTCGAAAAAATAAAAGATGAGCTGGGCTCCATAACTCAGTGGTTAGCGTGACAGCTTTGCACACCAGGAGTATTGGGATTGAACCTTCCCTGGGCCTGATTAACAAAAAAACACCACAAAAAGATGGCAGGCACAATGGCTCACACCTATAATCCTAACACTCTGGGAAGCTGAGACAGGAGGTCACTTGATCTTGAGAGTTTAAGACCAGCCCAAGAATGAGTTTGAGACCCCATTTCTACAGAAAATAGAAAAACTAGCCGGGTATGGTGGCAGCACCTGTAGTCCCAGCTACTCTGGAGGCTTGAGCCCAGCAGACAGAAGTTGCTATGAGCTAGGCTGAGGCCACAGCACTCTAACCCGGGCAACACACTGTCCCAATTAAAAAAAAAAATAGATCAGAATCGGTGAGACCTAATATATTTTTTTTTCAACTGGGACAGTCTATTGCCCAGGCTAGAGTGTCATGGTCTCAGCCTAGCTCATGGCAACTTCCAACTGTGAAATCTATGAAGAGTAGAGTATAAATGTCTTAACACAGTAAGTGAGGTGAAGGCTATGTTAACCAGTTTGATGTAAGCATTCCAAATTGCATATAAAATCAGCACATTGTACCCCATAAATGCATTAATATACACAGTTGTGATTTAATAAAAAAAAAATAAAGAAATGTAGATGTTTCACACAATTAAGGAAACATCTATATGACTGGGTTCTGAAAAGGTGAGACCCAGGGCAGTGCTGGAGGTTCTGACAACAGGAACTATTTATTCTTTTGGATCAGATGGTACATTTGTGCCTGTATACAGTGCACACCTGCTTCCAGTCTATACTATAGGAGTATGCTATTGAAAGATGCCATAAGTTGGTTCCATGCACCCACTCCCAAATAAAACTATCCTCTGTAGGGGCAGTTATCATATGAAAAGAAAGGGCCATACCTGAGTGTCTTCAAGGGTCCATTCTTTTGTTTTAAAGCCTCAAAGAGCAGAGTGACTCCACTCTGCCCCAAGTTATTCTGGCCTAGGTCCAGGCTCTCCAGCTTCTGGTTGCTAAGAAGAGCTGATGAGAGATCCTGACAAGAGAAGGGCGTGAGGGAGCAGCCCCAGAGCC